TGTTATCGACGTACAATATTATCTTATCAACGACTTTAATGAGTTTTTTTACCTATTTGCTTAATTAACTAACTACAAGAAGCTTACATACTAGGACGCTCGCTCTGACAATTGTTCTCGATTTTTTTTTATAAAAAAAGTGATTTGCCATGCCGGAGCTGAGCTGATTGTGGCTTGCAACGCAATTCCTGGCCCAGTACCGATGTTGTACTTTTTATTTATTATTAAATACTTCAATTAATTTTTTTTTAATTTTCAAGACCAATTAGTGGTAGGGCATCGAAGGCGACAGTGAAAATGGAAAAGAGAGTTAGATACAAAGATTTGTCAGAAAAAGAATAACAAAAAATGCACAATTCAAAAATTGTACCACTACATTGAACTTGTATCGGATATGTTTTTCATATACATTTTAGACTTTGATTCACGTCGTTTTCAAATTTATTACATAATAAATATTTTATTACTTCAGTTCAATATAATGTTTACTTGTTTTGCATCGCCATTAAATCAAATTTTTCAGAGAGCAAAAAAAGATTTTTTCGCTGCTTTACAAAGAAAAATTACATTTATAAATGCCACTATTTCGAGTTGAAGTGGACAGAATTCGTGCGTAACAGCTTAAAAAGCAGCTCAGGGCTTTCACATTGTCAATTGTTGATAGAGAGTTAGAGAGAGTGATTGTCATTTTGAGTGCTGTACATCTATTATGTAAGTATTTAGAAATTTTGTATAATCTTTGAAAGTATAAAGGAGTTCTACATGCCAAGAAGCTACTTCTTACTAGTTTCTTATTACGAACGCGTATTCTCATTTATATCGCTTTTATCACTACGATTCAAACTATTGCCCGACTCTAGCTAGATGAAATTCACATCTCACGATGATGTTATGTTTATTCTTACATTTTCTAGGAGGGGCTCGGCCTTCTCAAAGATGTCTTTTTCAGAGATTTATTATTGTAACGACCCTTTACGTATAAGATGAAATTTTAATACATTAAATTTTTTTTGTTTTAGTGCCTATTTTGCAATAAATTTTATGAAATCGAATTATAACGCCAGCATTGCAATGTTAGCATTATTATTCGAAATTTTATACATCATGATTTTCATAAAGTAAATTCATGTTTCATTCAAACATGAAATCATACGTATTTACAAATAGAAATGAAAAAAATAGGGATTTGTAAAGCTTTTACGCACTCCTACAATAGTAAGTACGTGAATATAATTAACATGCTTTTTTCAAATCTCAATTTTATAAATTTTAATATGCATAATTTATTATGACATTCAACCCTGTATAATATAGAAACATCATTTTTCTGCCTATACGAATATCGTATTTATACATTTTTGTAAGCTTGTAGCAATATTTTTTTGCAATACTCATGATTAAAAATAAAAAAAACACCATTTAAACAATCTAAATAAATTTCAAAATCCCATTCATAAAAAATACCGTTCAGACCTAATCTTAATTTGTTAGCTTCTTTTTCATAGGCATGATACCGAAAGCTCAGAAAAATCAGTGATCTCAATTATCAACAGATCTGTAAGTGGAAATAAAATCGGATAACAATAGTATTCAAATTTCAAACGATATTTATCAATAGATTACTGTTATTTCCTCATTTATAAAATATAAAACGTTAAAATTTAACTGCTTTCGTACTTCAATTATTGGACACCTTGCCGTAAAACCAGCGATATATCAAATATATAGGGATTATGTATATAACGTATTCTCATACGTAAACGGCCTTAGCTTATGAATGTCTCATTAATTCAATTTATCTTCATAATATATACTCTATATTTTCATTTCAACTGCATAATTTATTTAAAATGCTCAGTAAACTAAGCATTCTCGGATACTATACGTGGCTAGATTCGAACTCTGAATTCATTTCAATTTCATGTTGGTTGTTTTTTATGTTTTATCTTGTTTCACGCTTCATCTTTCACTAGCATAGTGCAGTGATACAATTTTGAAAAATTATCATTCAGTCAAAATAGATCAATATATACACAATCGATTAAATGCTACAGAGTCCGAATCAAAATTACACACCTTTTAGCGAGCGCTGGCTAGCCCAACTCTCACAACGTCGGCCCCCCTCAACACAGCTAAATGTAACCGTTCTCTTAGCCATCGGCTTTATAGCTAACAAATGTTGTGCAAAAGGAAAACTTCAATATCACACATATAAATACTGATAGATCAATTAAAGCTCCTTACTACATAAACTCATTGCAAACGTTTCGTCTGCAATGTTAATAAAATCTGTAATATTTTTAACGTCATTTTGACAACTTTGCATAGCTAAAAAGTTAGACGGCTAATAAATTCGGCCATTCTGGTCCAAACAACAATCTTTTTTTTTCAAACTGTCAAATTTGGCGGATTATCAGAACGAAGTCTCTGTCACGCGTCACGCGAGAGGAATAAAAAAATAATAAAAACGGATAAAGAATTCGAAAGAATACATGAAACTTAGTGCATTAAAATTAGAACATAGATTTTATAGAATGTATTATTAACATCCAGGGATTCTATTAATATGCTCAAAAAGATCCTACTACGCGTCAAACTACGTGCTAAAATAAAAAGTATAGATCGTACTGTAACTTAAAAGTGAATCAATCTTGTATCAAAAAATGAAAAAATAACTCAAGTTAAAAAGAGGAAGGAGGTGGTCTAAAATCTGATCGCATTAACTCATACTTTCAAATCGTTGAATTGACAAAACTTAAAAAGTAAAATACTATCTTCAACTAAAATAATACTAAAAGTCTTTAACGACGCTTAAATTTTTATTTAACTTTAAAAAAAATGATAACGAGATGAAATGGAGTTTCAAGAGATTCAAAAAACTGTACATTCAAACTTTAAAAGACTGGCCCCTTTGCTTATGCCGGCTAATTGCTTTTTCACGTTTGTCTATCGATTATATTGTATCTCAAATCTTAATCAACCGATAAAATAAATGAAACTATTGCAAAATCTAGGATATTATTTTTATAAAAAAAATGTTCAAATTAATAATATTCAGCATGATTCTTTCAGCAGACAACTATTGAAGAGTAGTTAGATTAATAAAACACTCGACTTGAAAATATTTTTAAAATGTTAATGATATCGACTACTTTGGCACAACAAAATGTGGTTAATTGTCACATTTTTGTCTTTAAGCCGGCACTCGCTTGATTGTGACATCAACCGTCTATGTACTACAAACTAATGGTTAGCTGCTAAACGTCAACTCTTTTATTTTACCCGTGATATTTTTTCTCAATATTTGTATCTTATGTAATATTTACTAATGATTTACGTTCATGTTTTACCACTCATGCAGTCAATCTCACTTATTAATACATGCATTGTTAAAATTTAATTGACTCAGACGTGTCAGTGTTTACGGTTAAAATGTCATTTATATACTTGTTGATTCAGATCAAATCAATAAGATTTTCTCGAACTACACTCTAACTAACTATTAAATCTATTAATAATGAGCCATGGGTTAACATCTTTAGAGACTATAGCAATATTATTTTTAGTACTCTTTCCGAGGATAAGTTATCGCTGCAAAACCCTGGTAACGCTACAATCATTTTTTGATATATCTTTGATCGCTAGCTTGCGATTGAATGAAAAAAAAGAATTCTTGCATATAAGGGAAGCATCACGCGTTTGAAAAATTAAAATCTGAAATATATTTTGAAGGTACCGATTTACACGTGCAGTCGGTTTGCAGCAATACGATATGTTCAACGCTCAACGTTTTTTGTCTCCTCCTCCTCCCTCTTAAACTTACTAAGAATTCATATCTACTGGATGTTATAATTAAGATATCTTTAATCAACTATCTAAACTGAAAAACGATACACCCTAACTCCTCGCTTCGGTGTGAGGTCCGTTTAAAAATCATTCGGTCTATTTTCTGCCTATAGTATATTGAATGTCTGATTTGATCAACAGTATGATGTGACGGACAGCTTTTTGTGGTTCAGTGCGTGAGCTAGATGATAAACTTAGTATCGCCTCTAACATTTTTCCATTAAAACTATTATTAAAAATAATTAATAAACTTTTCAGTTAAATCTTACACACATAACTGCCTTTAACGACACAGTTCAACGGAATGCCGATGCAATCGACATCATCACAATTCTTCAAGCGATAAAAAGACGCTTAAAAATGACCGAATTTGCGCGCACGTAATTCTTGTAATCAAAGCCACAGTTTAAACAAATGTAAAAATAGTTTTTTTCTTGAAACATCATCTTGGATATATATAGTTTAAAAAAGCACATCCACATCGCTTGGAAGAATTAAGAAGTTCGATCAACGGCGCAGTGTATAGCGACCAGCGTAAAAATAAAAGAATAATAATTCGGCGATTCACCGTATCAGCTCATATATCACGACGCAGCGAAGACTAAGCGCGCATTTTAGCACCTCGCAGAGCTGCAAAGGGTCCCGTGACATTGGCTTTTATTATTTTTATATCTCTTAACTCAACTTTTTGTTTATCTATTTTAAATCTTAGAAGTTACTTGTTTTCTCCGCTTACAACGATAAAACGGCGCTCGAGTTGGAGTAGCAACGAGTACTAGACGACCGTTAATCTGGAATAATTAGTCACAGCAACAATCGTGCATTATCATCGCACTTTATTAATTTTCACCATTTAGTAGCACGCGAGATCGTCCAGAACTCATTTTTCTACCGTCAATAGCGAAGACTCGTCTTTCTTTAGAGCCTTTTTTTGTGTAGTATTATAGTATAGGTCTAATTTTAAAAATTCTTAGCTCCTACAATGCTATTAGTATATAACGGCCTACACCAGCTTTGAACGTAGGCAATAGACAATCATTCGCGCGTGCGTTTCATTGGCCAGCCACGCCTGTCACATTTGTAAAATATATCTATTTCATATTTGTATAATATGTGTTTGTGTGTGTGAATGTATGTGAATGTATGCATGAATGTATATATATATAATATATATATATTTTTTAGGATTTGTTTTTTTTCACTCTTTTGTTTATCAGATTAAATATTCTGTACAAGATTGAAGACCATCAGTCGAAGCCTCTTTTGGCATCGCTTTACTCTTAACAGCGTTTTTTTCAAACGCTCTTAAAATTATTAAACCTCTTAAAACTACGCTCATTTATGTCTCATATTTACCATATGAATTGGGATTCATCATTTTATTACATTTTAAAATAGATAAAACTGTTACGACCACGAAAACAGCGCGTTATTCACGATGAATGTCATTTAAATACGAGAATTTTGTCAATTTTCCGCTTATAAACCCTAAGAATCATGGTTTTCGCCGAAGCATATTCAATTCTCGTACGAATTTAAAACTTATCAAGCTAATTTTGTAACACTTCATGTTATGTCTAATCGAGTTACTTTTTTGGTAATCTCGATAGTCATGTGTATGCACGTTGACTTTTCAATTAGCGACGACATCAAATAGAAAAAGATAAGGTCGTTCGATTTTCATTTAGTCGTGCACGGCACTAGGATACCAGTAGTGAACAAGAGTATAGGGCTGACACCACTGCTGCTGCGGCTGCTGTTGCTGCTGCTGCTGCTGCTGTTGATGATGGTGATGGTGTTGTTGTTGCTGCGGCTGTTGTTGGTTTTCGTAGGCTGGTCTGTCTTGTTAGATGTTGCTCTTAGAAAAGGAAACCCTCAAATGATTTGATTCGCTCAACTGATAGTTGTGCATTTTCTGAAAGTGGCAGTTAATAAATTAAATTAAGTTATTGGGATATTTAAGGCATATAAGTTGCAAGAATCAACAATCAACTATACAAAACTCACAATAAGAGCGGCAACGGCATCATCCATGCTGGGCATCTGAATTAAAGCCATTTTTCTGTCCTTAGGGAAGAATTTGAATGCTTTGACAGTAAATCCATTCTTGGTGAAAGCATCTTTTATTTCATCTTCTGATACCGTGGTTCTAGAATATAAGTGCATTTCCATCAATAAGTGTTCAATAAATATAGAGTAATTTTTTAACATATTTAAAACTCAAGACGTGTTCTTACGGAATGTTTGATAAATGCAAAGTCGCGCTTGGTGGGTAAATGTTTTGATAATTCTTTGAACCAGGCTTTTTGAAGCGGTGAAGGGGACTATTGGTATAGTCCTTTGTAAGACCGGCATCAGGCTGACCTTCTCTGGGTAGCTGAACTGATTGATGTTTACTCAACATCACTCTTATTGGCTTACCAAACACTTTTAGCTTGTCCATGTGGTTTATAGCTGTACAAAAAAATTCAATTTTATTCTCCATTTCACTTCTACATATTTAATCCATTTAAACTTGCAAGATTTACCTAAGTGAGCTTGATGAGGTTCAGCCAACTGAATAAGTGCGGAATCTTTTTTATTGTAAAGAATTTTCACACGCTGTACATCCCCGTAAACACCTAAATTGAACAATTTTTAGTACAAGCTTAGTTTATGAGTGTACATTGAAACATTAAATTTTAGAAATTTTGTATCGAGTGTTTAAATTTTAGGATTTTATTTTTATTTTTGCAATGATGACTTTTCATTACTAAAGAAATAATTTTCAAAGATCCTTGAAATTAAAACACTTCTTTAACTGAATAATTAAATTTTTAATGCATTTGTATCTTAAGCATAAGCTTCTTTTGGTTACAAAAATATGTGGAACTAAAAATTTTTGATGAAAAATGTTAAATTAGATGCAAAAGATTCAGAAGAAAAATATTATTTGTAGCATTTTAAAACATGGTTCATAAGTACAATTATCATGATATAATTTTCATTTGTTGAATAATTACTTCGCGTATTGTTATCTTCATGACATGACAATAAACTATGAGGTAGAGTGAATGTTAAATTAGAATTGAAGAAAAAAACGAAATGACTTCAACATAAAATTAGCGAAATAGGAATATGAAGCTGTAAAATGAATAAAAAAAGCTTTGAGAATAATAATTGTCAATAAAATCAGAAATTGAAAGATGAATGATTTGAAAATAGTTATTAATAGTGACCGTGTAAATAAATTTCTATAAGGAAATAAATGTAACTATATTATTTTCCAACGATCTAATAAAAATTATAACATAAAATTCAATGATTACTAACATAAAAAATTAATTTTTCTCATTTTAAGTGAACTTAAGAGTGATATGATCAAATTATGAAATTAAAAATGCTTAATTATTCTTTTCAACCAATGCATTAATGGTGTATTTAAAAATGATTGTACTAATAAAAATGTTATATAATTAATAATATAAATGTGGAGACGTACCAAACAGGGTAAAGAGAGCGTCAGGCGTGACCATCTACACAGAGAACAGACAGAGTTCAGTCAATAGTCAGCGAATATATAGGATTAAATGTAAATAGTATGCAGGCGTGCGTGCACAAGATTCGCGATCTTATTTACTTTAATCGTTATTCAGAGATTAATAATGAATAAATAAAATAATAGAGGCATTCAATTCTAGTAGTGTTCGTCTCTGTGAAAATTTTCGTTACGATGCTACTATTTATGCATAAACTTATAATTTTTTCTCGGCAAAAAACTATTACAGCTTTAAAAAAAATGCTTAAAACGTTTTATTCAATAATGAACCACGAAAAAAAGTAGGTCGAATATAAAACAACCTAGCACGTTGCAGTCATTAATTTTACTTTATGTTCCATCCGCGACCGGTAGATTGATCATTACAAGTTTGAATGATTAATCTTCCGAAGTTCTGGCGCTCTTTTTCACAGTCACTTTATCCTAGTAGACTTTCACAGAGAAAAACAGTGCGAGAGTTGCAACGAATGAACAACAACAAAAAACAAGTATATAATACATAGAGAACAGCTCTAGACACATGATAAATCACAGAAAAAAGGCACGAGAGGCCACGATGGCGAAGCTTGTGCTCGCAGCTTAAAAAACAATAAATAAATAAATAAATAAAACGACAGTAGTATACACATTGTTGTATAGTGCAGTAGTGACAAGTTGTAGCTGCAAAGTGTGGAATATGTCAACTCGCATGGTATATTCTGAGGCGTTCTTGGCTCAATTTGTTCGTTTCGTATATTGTACTTGATAAAAGCAAAGTGTGAAAAGATCGAAGGAAATCAAGCCTCGCGTGTAATAATGAAAAGCAAGTAATAGATATATATGCTGAGTCATACAATAAAAAATAATAAATAAAATATTCTAAAAATTCTAAATTGATTCAAAATTATTTTTTAATTACAATATTAAGCATAAAACGCCTCAGATAAATGCTCATGTATTAATTTATGGTCTTTATTATAAAAAAAAAAACGGTATGCGATGAATCGCTGTTTTGCGTGCTATATATACGACCTACTAGAAGCGTGACGGAAAGTAGTAGGTAATGATTTGGGAATTATAGATTATTTGTTATTTTTTAAAGTTTTAATTAAAAGATATAAGGCAACAGGGAAGGACAGTAAAAAAGATAAACAGGGTAAAAGAATAGGATACGCGTAGTAGGTCTTACAATATATTATTCAGAATGAGTTCATGAGTGAAAGTTGACTAAATTCATTTCTTGTGATTCTGTCAACAGCAACACGAACTTTTACCGTGGACTCACTCATTCATTAAAAATTTCGAATCACTCAAAATATAATTATATTGCAGTATTCATTACACTATACTCTTCAATAAAATTAAAGTCTATTTGTGTTTAGAGACATGAAATAGATTGTATATTTCAAACACTCACCGGGGCATAACGTTTTTGATAAATGATATCGATTTAATTATACTCTTATATGATGATTTTTTAAATAATAAGGAGTAACTTTTTTCATATAAACTTTGTCTGCCCTTTTTGATTATCCAATTTAAAAAATGGTATAATGGAAAAAAAGTTAAATTCAAGTTAAATAGAACGATAAATACGCGAGCTCATCCAAATCACTGTCAAGGAAGCGAGAATTATTTCAATTGAACGAGTTTCAATAATTAAGACACGCCCGTTTCGTTGTAAATTTATTTTCAAATCTTACCTCCTCATTCAGGTTACTAATGAGTAAAACGCAGGATGGCTGCGGACTGCCAGGAACTCGAACGCCAAGCGCTCCAGCTCCAATATTAAAGCCTCCCAAGCCGGCAAGTCCACCGGTCGGTGGTACGCCATTGCCATAGGGCCCCGCGAGCGGGGATGGTAGGCCATGCATAGCTGCAAACGGCGTTGCTAGTACACTGGGTGCTCCTGTAATCAATTCTGTATCAGATAAAATGGTTTTTACGATGATTATTGTGATATGTATACTTAGTCTGTGTCTTTTGCCAAATCTTTGTTTTTAATCAAAACGTAAATATTGTCTTCCATTTTCATAATAAAAGTTTCTACTAACCAGGTAGTCGAGCACGTGGCTGAGATCCGGCAGCTCCAAGCAAGAGTTGAGGTAAAAGTTCACCTCCCAGTGCAATCGACGCAGCATCAAGACTGGCGTCTCCCGTCGGCAGAGTAGGGTTTGTATAATCCCTAGACTTGTCATTATTGTACTTGACGTTGAGGTTCTGCATTTTGCTGTAGTCTATGCGCAATGTGCAGCAGGAATTGTAGATATTTTGGCCATCAAGATTCTGCAAAAAGGATTGAAAAAGCAATCGATTAACTTTCGTTTATCGTCTGACCGAAATCGGATTGTACTACTGAGATTTCATCAAAACCAATTATGCATAATTGCCGCGCACCCAATTAGGTATAGCGACGCGTTCATTTTTATCGTATTTCGTTCCAGATGAATTTTCCGGAAAAGGTGTAAATTAAATTCAACAGAGTATACGTTTACGAGCGAGCGCGACCGACACGCGCGGCACAGCCGAGCAACTATGACGCTGCACATTACTGCTGCAACCGAAAATATTGGCAACGTCACACTTGTGCATAGGGCGGCGGCGCAGCACGTGAGCTTGTTTCGCTGTTAGTAGTCGCGTCGTGGCTTTTTGGTTTTCGTTAATAATCCATGAGAGACGAGTTTGCCCTGCCCGCGTGTATACACATACACGCAACACAGGGACGCTCGCTACAATGAATGCGGTCACGCTCAATTTTCAATGCTTTGCTCGTGTTTCATACTTTTGCGGTTTCGAAGTTAAATTCTTGGTCCGCATGCAGTATACCATTTTTAAAGCGACAAAGCATTTCACGCATTCATGCCTCAGTGCGGAAGTATATTTAGTGTATCATTCATTTTACATCTTAAATAAATAGCCTTGATATTGCTGTTTATTTACACGATGCGTTCAAATTTTGATACAAAATAGTAAGATAATTCAAAGTTTATACGGCAAATTTCGATCGAAATTCAAATCAAAATTATTATTCAATTTTGATTTCAATATAAATTCTGATATTTATATATAGCTCCATGAACCCGTGAATATAATCGCCAGCGAGGCCAGTAACAAGTGAGTATGACACAATGTTAAAAATGACGAATTTTCATCACGTCGCGTATTATTAACTTAATAACGAGACTGGTTAATCAAAATAATGTGCATAATTTTTATGGAAAAAATGTAATATTTTCAGTGCTTTTTTTTTATTACAGAACATTTACAAACACTTTTATTCAGTGCAACGGTACGTGAAGTACTTCCGGAATTTTTATATTTGTTAAACAGTTTGAACAAAATTTGATGCGCTTTGAATAAAATTCCTCCCATCGTTCTATACGTGGCTAACATTTTTTCTGCGTATCTTGCTATACGGAAAATACAATTTCACGTTTTATATTGCGAAACCGAAGCTCAAAAATGTCTCAATGGGTTAAGATAAAATGGTCGGCACGATTTTTACTACGTCGATGAAACGCGGGCACCTGTATTTCGCCTCGAAATTGTGAGTGCGTCGGTTCGCGATCAAATTTACTCAATCCGCAATATTTGGCCAAATACGATATATATAACGGTGTACCCAACCGAATATATAATTCATTAGGTGCGTATAATTTCTTGCTCATGACTGGAACTTTTGACTATATTTGCTTAAAGGCAATAATAATGCCTTTCATTCAAATAAAGCGCACTTTATATAAACAATATATTATATTGTGTATACTAGAGCGTTATAATTTTCCACCCACTAGATCAGTCTAATGGAAATAACAAGCCCCTTTTATTGCGTATAAATTTGTGTATTTTGAGTGAAATTAATACATCCGAGTACAGTTGCAGGCAGACGTGCGCACGCGCACACACATTCGCCCGCAAGCCGTATATAATTTAACTGTATATGCATTTGTCACAGCCTCGCGAGCATATTTTATAATGGAATATTCGCTCGATCGAAGGAGCAATAGGTAAACGCACGATAGCGTCTAGTCGCAATCGTACACGCAGAGCCAGCTAAGTACGATTGCACCGCGTAAATTTTAGATTCTATGTGCGCAACTGCGTACGTCTACATACGGGTGGGTATATGTTCCGAATTAGTCGACTCTATGTACACACACAAACACGTCAGCGATTCGCTACGGTTAAGCGCCTTAAATTTGCCGTAATATTCATACACTCGCATGCGCAAGATCATATACTAATATCAATACGTAAGGGTTAACTTCCTTAATAGGTTAAACAGGCATCTGTAAAAGCTAGCACTAATCAGATTGTTAAACGTTCCCTTATTTGCCATTGCTAGATCGATGTAGCTTTAGAACAGAGGCATAAGCGGTCAAAGACATCTGCCATAACGAGCAGCTTAATTAAATTCTATAAGAAAAGTAGCAGCAAACATGTAGCAGCACGAAATATTTGCACTCGAAAATGTTAATTACATAAAATTAATATAAAACTATTAAACACAAGTTGTTTCCAATAGTCTTAATGCCGCTAGGTAAGGGGGTAGCGATTCCGTTTTAAACCATTAATTAAATATAGTGCAACAAAGCAGAGAGTTGTGTAAAAGCTCGTTACTCATGATTTGCAAACACGTAAATCTTTTAGCGTGGCATTATAATAGCTGCGGCAACTAAGAAGCTATAAAACACTTTAGTATAGCAAAGAGAAAAGTGATAAAACGTCCTTACATATATTCTAGTTAAGATAAACGTTTTGCCATGCGTGCAATAGTTATGAAAAAGCTCGTTTGAGCTTGCACTTGCAGTGCCATTCATATTTCACCATTTTCCGTAGGAAAATAGCAAAAAATGAGATACGCTTATCTTCATTAACGAGATCGACGGACTAATAAGTTTATCAGCGGAATACATCTGAGAAATTGATGTCGCTTAAAAAAACAGCGTATCAAAGATATGAATATTTCATGCGAACGACGAGACTATTTCATTTATACATCAAATCGTTTGTGAACATTTTTTTATGCTCAAGAAAGATATCATTCATCTAACTTATAAATTAGAATCTTATATATTTTAAACGAGACATTTTTAGTCTTCTTCTGTATCATATTTATTTGTGTGCGTTAAATCAGTCACTTTATACAATTTACCGAGATCTTTTAATTAAAATAAAACATATGCATAAAAAATTTGGACTTTTAAAAGAAAATCTTTTTAATTACTTAAATTCTTGCTTTTGTGTACCTATACAAAAGTTCTTCTTGAAAATATTGCAAAAACTATAGGAAATTTTAAAAAATACTTACAAATTTGGCATTTTGAGCAGCCATCATATCCGCATATTGAATCAGAGCTTGGAAAGTACCTGAAAATAAATTTTATTTTAAAACTTGTAACATGTAGAATTTTCATTATTTCATTTAATTAAATTCGAGTTATCTAAAAATATAAGGAAAATTGGCACGATTAATCAATAAAACTCGAACTAGAAATAAACTCGGCTCTGTTATGCGTCTTCCTCTTTTATTCGCCGAGGATTCACAAACACATTTGTCTTTATGTATAATTCATTTTTCAAGCTTGAGCTTCATTTGTAATAATGCAATTTTTTCCGGGACTAAATTCGTTCTTTGACGAAGCAGAGGCAGCAACAACGCTGCGGCTGCTTCTTTACAAAGCCACGAAAAAAAGCTTCAAACGCGAAAAGCAGACAGAACGTGGAGTTTCATGGCACAAGTATAATAATTTCATAGTTATACTTTTATTACTCGGCCTCCTTTCACCCTCGTCGTGCGAGCAGGACTATATATATATACGCTCTAGCGAAAGTAACCGCGAGTCCAACTTAATTAGAAGCAAAAAGCCAAATGGATAGAGTAATTAAATAAGCGAGCAGCCGCCCACTCGAACCCTCTCCTTGTTCTCCTCTTCTTTATATACATATACTCCAATATAATATACAAACACAAATCCTGAAACGAGGAGGTCATCTACAAATGAGATGTGAAAAAAAAGCGCGCGTACATACACGCACCGCATGCGCGTTTGATGTATACGTATATAGCGCGCGGTGAGATACACGAAAGTGTTCGAAAATGAGCTACAAAGAGGCATGGAGGGAGAGGGAACATTTAGGATGTTGCTCGTGCATCACGCGCGCGAGCATAAATTAATTATTTATGTGGCGAATATGTACATGCGCCCCCATCCCGAGCTAGTCGCGCCTGAAATTTTGATGATGGTTCGCTATACGCGCCAGTAACTGCAAAACTGGAGATGCTCAAAGCTATTTCGTTTAGGACGCGTTATAGAGATATGCGCTCTAATTTGAGTACGGCTTGCTCTCTAGCACGACAATCGTACAAGCGTTATTACGGGGGTTGCATAAAATGAATTTCAATGATCCAATCATGCTTACCGTTTTTCGTGAATGTCACGATCTTCAGAACCTTGCCGTACCGCGAGAATATCTGTAACACAAGAAATAAATTCATTAATTTCACAATTTAAAATAACATTTCATCATAGTTTTAGCAATAACATTAAAACCGCACTCGTCTGCGTGCGGTTACAGTTACACCAAGTTCATTTCGAAGTCGAAGCGAGCAGCAAATTTTGCAGATCATTCATATGCTAGCATGATACATTATATTAGGTTGTTCGATTTTGCAACAGCTCAAAACATAAACACAGCGTATTAGGGTTCGATACTGTTGTAAAGTAAGCGGCAATAATAACAATAGTATACGGGCTAGCGCGAGCAGAGTCTCTACTTCGCTATATTTACGTATTGAGTTGTTGCAGAATTAAACGCCTTATTGTGTGCGTTCGCACACACGCATACACGTACGCAAGGCCACAGAAGCCAGGACTGTGCGTATTTGTTTGTACAAGGCAAACCGATTATACTGCATTGCGGGAAGAGCAAATGTTTGCATCGCTTATTGGGCTTCCACATAGCGATGTATTTTACTGCACATGCGGATATTCGTACGTGCTCTCAATGAATTCCTGAGCATAAAGTGCAAAAAGACATGTACGCGGTCGTAGTCGAAGAAAATTGACTTGGTAACTTTCGCGACGTCGAATATGGTTTCGAACACACGATCGTTTCGTATCGTTTAAATGCAAATTATTCATCGCGACAAGAGGGAACCAAAGTTTTTAACCATCGTTACTTGGATAAACTTGGCGAAAATAAAGCATATAGAGTTCATTGAACAGTAGCGCAAACACACGAAACCTGAAATGTGGATTATCTATGGGGCAATTTACAATATATAATACAGAGTCTGTGCAATTATAGAAGGAATGCGCCACACGGAGTTAACATTTGCAGAGGCGCGCGCGTCCGCGTTCATAATGGTCAATGGGCTAGAATCCGCGAGAGTAGCGTAGTCCGATATAATCGATTGGCAAAGCCCCACTAATTCGCGTGCTAATGCGAGGCGCAGCAGCATAGCGACTCTTCCGGAGGATAAAATTCGGATTGTTGCTCGATTAAAGAGGAATAGAGGCAGAATGGAATAGAGAAAGAGAGAGATGGCAGCTATACATGAAACATCATCAACAACTGCACGAGCACGAGTATTATTATACATATAAAGCGCAACAAAAGCACACGAATATCTCAAATACGAGTACGTGTCGAAGCCGAGCGCGCGGATGATTTCATCAAGTTGTATGTATATTTATGGGTCAAAATAATACTTTTTTACAAAACCGTGCGCACGTATGTCACCGATCTTGACGCGCTTTTGGTATGTTATAGTACATGGTAAAAAGGTCCCAAAAAAAAATTTTTAGACCCCCTCCCCCCTCCTACCCCCCACTTCCGGTATAAACGTCCATTTTCGATCTATATTTTTTCTGAGGACATGAAGCAAGTAAAAAATCTGAAAAAATTCATAAAAATACTTTTCCACAATCCAAACAACCTTGAATTTTTTCAGATTTTTTGAGTGCTTCAGGCCTTCAGATAAAATCATTGAAAATTTCAAAAATCGAGATACGGCGGTATGAGCCGATGTAGTACTCGGAAATTTTTTCAGTTATTTTTCGCATTAAAAAACATAACCTCAATTTTTTTCAGATTTTTTCAGATTACCTAACGCACCTTTTGAAGCCAAAAACCGATTTTTTTGACGAAAATAATTTTTTTAGGACAGTACGGAGCCTCGAAAAATCTGAAAAAAATTTTTTCTTGTTTTTTTCATCAAAATACGTAATCTCAAATTTTTTCAGATTTTTTAATTGAAGGCGATAGCTTCTAGGGCCGAAAAATGCTATTTTTAACAAAAAATGGTTCCTAGAACCCGATGGTTCCGGTGAAAAAATTTGAAAATATTTTTTTTGAATTCCTTGTCAAATTTTAATAAATTTTGACCGTTTCAAAAGTTCGATTGAAGCTTCCTAGCTCATTTTAGAGCATCAAACGAGTTTTATCATTCCTTAATGTCTTCAGAAACGTCTTCAGATATTTTGCACTAATCTTTGTCCTGCTCTAAAATGAGCTAGGAAGCTTCAATCGAACTTTTGAAACGGTCAAAATTTATTAAAATTTGACAAGGAATTCAAAAAAAATATTTTCAAATTTTTTCACCGGAACCATCGGGTTCTAGGAACCATTTTTTGTTAAAAATAGCATTTTTCGGCCCTAGAAGCTATCGCCTTCAATTAAAAAATCTGAAAAAATTTGAGATTACGTATTTTGATGAAAAAAACAAGAAAAAATTTTTTTCAGATTTTTCGAGGCTCCGTACTGTCCTAAAAAAATTATTTTCGTCAAAAAAATCGGTTTTTGGCTTCAAAAGGTGCGTTAGGTAATCTGAAAAAATCTGAAAAAAATTGAGGTTATGTTTTTTAATGCGAAAAATAACTGAAAAAATTTCCGAGTACTACATCGGCTCATACCGCCGTATCTCGATTTTTGAAATTTTCAATGATTTTATCTGAAGGCCTGAAGCACTCAAAAAATCTGAAAAAATTCAAGGTTGTTTGGATTGTGGAAAAGTATTTTTATGAATTTTTTCAGATTTTTTACTTGCTTCATGTCCTCAGAAAAAATATAGATCGAAAATGGACGTTTATACCGGAAGTGGGGGGTAGGAGGGGGGAGGGGGTCTAAAAATTTTTTTTTGGGACCTTTTTACCATGTACTATAACATACCAAAAGCGCGTCAAGATCGGTGACATACGTGCGCACGGTTTTGTAAAAAAGTATTATTTTGACCCTTATATATTATATTTATGTATCGGCAAATTCGATGCGGAGAAGGAATAAAGCGCGCCGGATTGAGTGTGTAATGCTTTTATCCCCTAACGTTTTTCAAATGAAAATTCAAACATATTTGTGCAAGTTCGCCGCGCTGTATGCGCGCCGCTTTGTTTTCTTTCCACTCAAAAACTATCGACGGTCCCGTCAGTTTCTCTCTTTGTCTTGACTTTTTTTCTTTCTTTTTTCTCAATGTTGCCGTGCGTATATTTGTATTATATGTCTGTGTACTTGCATTATAAGTGTTACGGATAGCAGACGCATGGTGTTTATGCGTGTTTGTGTGTGCACGTTCGTCAGTGCGTACTTTTTTCCACATTCTTTTTCCTTTCACTTTCCTTCTTTTATTTGTGCGTGTGCGTGTGCGTGTGTGTGTGTGTATGAGTGCACAATGCACATATTCGAAGCGAGTGCGATACGACGCACGTGCGCGCACTTTAGCCCGACGCCGAGAAAGCTCATGGGAAATCAAGTTGCGCGCAGAGCCGCTGCTGCCTTCCGTCCTCCTCTCACCCTCCACCTCCCGTTGTCGGTTCCAGCCCCCGAACCCCACGTTCGGATATAACACACACACACACACACACACATACGTGTACGCTGTCGCGCGCGAGCGAGCGAGCACGAAGAAGTATATGTATGCGGAAGCGCGAGCGAGAACTATCGCTAATATTTTATTTGCTTGGTGGACTTTATTTTGTCGCCGAGCGAGCGCGCGAGAACGTACGTACGTACGTACGAGACAGACTACTGTGCACCGCTTGCACACATGGGTACAGGGATTTAGCAGTAGCGTAGCGCCCCGGCAGATCTTTTCTCTCTTCTTCTTTCCTCGTTGCCGTTCCTTGGAAAAGGCTGTGTTTTTTCCCTCTTCTTCTCTCTCCTTCTTTTCCTTTTTTTTTCTTTTGCTTTTTTTAAGACAAGTTGTTTTGGGGTTCACCAGGGATTTACTGCTAGATATGTGTGTGTATATATGCCATACGTGAATTCGCCTGTGTAAATGTTCTACTTTTTTCGTCGACGAATAAATCGAGCTTAAAATAATTGAATAAACCCACATTTCTAGACGTTCCGAAAGCGTTTGACTGGCTCTGAATTTTGTAAACGAACAATCCGCGTTAATTTCAATGTTCCTTTTTGACGTTTGCTTACAAAATTAAAGCGCTTATACTTCCTGGATCGAGATTTTCATATAAAATAATTTATAAAACATCCGAATAGTAACGAGAGGAATTATCGATTCAATCAAAAGTATCGATTAGAAGACTTTACGGTATTTATTTTTCAGGCCACTTTGTTACGAAAGTTCTTTGTCACGAAAGTATATAATATTTTAAACAGTCGCAGTTGACATCCGAGTTTGCACAAAAGTAGACTTCGATTGAAGTTGCAGCGCGCATATATACCTGGGAAACTGTACTAATAATCTCTATCAGTTGCGCCGTACTCAATATCGAGTAAGTTTGCAGGCACAACTCTCGCCACCCCTCGAATACTAGGTTTGCTCGTATGTATACATAGGCATACACTTGCACGGGCGCAGACCCGTGTACATATAGACACGTACAGCATATATACAGACGCAGAAACATCTATCTCAAGTTGTCGGTGCAGCTCGCGCGCGCGGGCGCCAGCTCCAGTTTTGTATACACCGTATCATTCCACTCGCAGCTATCTCGCGCGAATAATAATGAGACAAGTCAGCGATGGCGCGACTGTTGAGTGTATATTACATATATACGCGTACATACGATATATACTAAATATCGAGCGTACTTGAGGCAGTTAAATCGTTGGAGCATCTCATTTTCTCGCTGGAAACGAAAGGCAAGTTGAGCCGCTGCAACTCCTATATGGATACTATTGCTGCTGCTCGGCAACTACATTGGCTCATACGATAGCTGCTTGCCTGGCCTAAAACGTACAGAGTACGTGCATGAACGCGCCTACTACGCCTCGCCGTATCAAGCGAAACTAATGCTCAGTCAAATTATCCCTTAACTTACACGCGTGCGTATATGTAGCGCGCGTTCAGTGATACGTCGCATGCAAAAGGCAGGCAAATTAATCCTCATTGTTACGCACGGACACGCGTGGCTCGAGAGAGGCCGCTACATCCAGTGCGACCAGTCGCACGCCCGCGTGAAAACGATCGACGAGTGGTGGTGGTTGGTGGTGCTGCTGCTGATGCCGAGAGTCCGACGAAAGCGTAACGGTAGTGAGCCAGTGAACTTTAGCCAGCTCTCGTCGATTACCGGTCGCGTCCTTTCGTTTCCGCCCAAGTGCGCAACGACGCGCGCGAGGACGCATAAAGGCCGCCGCCAGTCGAGCCTGGCGAGTTCGTTCAATTGCCACGCACGTAGCACATGCACAGTTGCATCGATGGCGGACTATACGGCGGGGTTGGGGGGACACTTTCATCGCTTGGAAAATTAGTCGCGTTAAAGCTCGCGCAGCTGTTGACCAAAGTACTCGATATATACACGGCACAAAAGCGAGCTAGACACTACGCATACGCGTGTACGGGATAGCTGCACATAGCCGCGCGCACGAGAATTTCGCGAATATTAGGTCGGCTCGAATCTGCATTGGACGATCGCGTACACAGGCAGCACGTTATGGAAAATTCGAGTCGTATTCGCTTGAAATCGTCGATTCATCGCTGCAGCCCAGCCACACTGGTAGTAGCTCTTTGAAAATGCATAGCACTCGCAGTAATATCCGCGATAATCCATCAGCTTAGCCGTGCCGAGTAGGTGTACATATATAGATGTGTGTATGGGTAGGTAATACGGAGCGCTGGCTGCGCGAGTCCGTTGAGAGTCTACCGTTGTATATGCACGCCGCGAGTCTATCCTACAGGGACTCGTGTATCGGGCCCAGGGCTGCTGCTGCTGCTGCTGCTGCCGCGCTGTAACGCCCGAATTATCGATTATAGACGCGCTACCGACTACCTATAGCGGCACACATAAAGCGCGCTCGACAGTTACTAATTCGCACACGCGTTTCATTATCGAAGGGAAAAGGGGGGCAAAGAGTACGTAGCACAAGCAGCGGCAGCAGCAGTAGTAGCTGCGTCGGAGGACTAGAGTAGGAGGAGGAGAAAGGATCCGAGGGGGTGGGATCGGGTCTTGTTTAATATACAGACGGTACAGCGAGCCGCGCGCGCGCTCGATAATGGTAATAACGACGGCGATTTCATCCGACTCAACCGCTACCTACCCTATATACTCCCATACCCCGCGTGACATTCGTATTTTACACGATTCACGCGGAATTTAAAACGCCCGAGTAATGGATTTTCATCGTTATATCATGCACCTTATGCACACGCTTTATATATGTTGCATGCGTGCGTGCGCGCGCGTCAAGTATATATATAACCTCTGCGGAAACGAGTGCTATACGTTACTGAAATATTTTCGGATGGAATGTCGTGATGATCCGATCGACTTATCCGCGCTGTAGGGACGAGCTCGAATGAAATTTCAATTTTATTTTAGCTGCAGCGGGCGCGATCCACAAAAATCATCCGACAAAGATTGGAAAAAAGGGGGAAAAATCATCGGCAAGCCGGAGCACCGACGCACGCGAATGGTCGAAGGGGCTTTGAATTAATTGGCATATAATACAGTCGCGCGGAACATAAATGCGCGCGGAATATAAGGCAAAAAGTAGGTCAATTCGGAAAAGACGGTATAAGGGTCGTGCTCATAAATATTCGAGTATATAACGCGCTGTCGTATACGCGCTGCTACATACACAACGTAAATGATACACCTAGGAAAGGACCAACGTACATAACGGACGCGGCGCGAGAGCAATAAAGAGAGTGAGAGAAATTCTTTAATGAGGATTTAAAGTGCGTCCCAGGTGGCACGGATACAGGCTCGGCGCTTATTTACGAACAGGCCCGCGCACAGCTGCTGCCACTGTCATGCGGCTATCTCTCTCTCTCTCTCGCTCCATGAGCCAGCATATCGTATACATGCGGCTTCTTAATGCCGTGCGCCACGCGGGTAATGCTCAATAGTAACACGCAATATAACGTAAGCGCGACGCGCGCCACCCTTGCCCCGAGTGGAAGAGAGAGACATGATGCGCTGCTGCATCCTTTATGTTTGAGACTTGATTGCGTCGAAGAAGACGACAGCCACCGTATCGTCGTGTCGACCTTATATTATATGGCCCGCAAGCAGCGCTCAGGGTGTAGCCAAATTTCATCCCTGCTCGGTGTAGTTTCAACGTGTATCGCGGGCTGCTGTGCTCGTTTCTGCCGTAAATTTTATAGTTATGAAGAGGAGTGCGAAAACACTTATGAGCTATTTTATCTGCGCCGCATATAAATATACAGGCGCTATTGATTGTTTGTGTAAAATTTTATGCTTGTACGCTGAAGGCCTTAACAAACAGCTCACTCAAATGTCCTTTTCGCGCGAGACTCGCACGAATGGCTTCGATCCAGCCAATGGCTCGTTGAATCTAAGCCTGTACTACTTTTTTGCGGTTCGTGTACATCGAGTCGTAAGGCTGTATCGCTTGCGCAGTTCATCTACAGTACCTCGGTGAAAAACAGTCGCGACAGCATTAAATAAAGCTCAAAATTCCCCTCGGTTGCGCGGAGGCATTTAAATTTTTCATTCGGCTAATTGCGGTCCTCGAGACTTTTTTTTCATAACTTATAGCATTGCTATAAGCGACCGAAGGAGGAGCAGCCAATATAGAGAGGAGAGCGAGTAGAGAGCGAGGAGGAACGCGGCGAGCCTCTAATATTTACGAGCGGCCTAATCCCGCTTGTCCAATGTGCGCGTCCACGGCTTAGCGCAGTAATCTTCCTAGCTGATTACACGGTCTAGCAGGCTGCGCGCGCCTTCCCCGGCAAGCTTTCGCTGTGGCTCGGCTTCGAGCACAGCACAACTACTGCCACGCAACAATCAGCATGAAGGGTTACACGAAGATTCGTCAAGTCAATTCAGCTGCTGTCGAGGTGCAACGCGAAAGACACGTATTATTATTACGACTGCATTCGAGGCATGCTACGATACAATTTTTGCGCCTATACATCCGAATACGACCACCAACGGCTTTGCTTTATCCGTGCAAGTACCCGAATATACATAACATGACTCTACGTTTCGAGGGGATGGAACGTGTCCGCCTGCGGCAGCAAAGTTCATTCTGCTGCTGCTGCTTGCTTTAGACGAGCAGAAAGTGTGCGTATGTGTGTGCAAGAGACGTATTCATTGAGCAAATTAATTTTTTCGGCTTGGCTGCAGTATACAGCGTGAACGGTGTATATCTGCGCACTCATGCTCCCTACATGTGCACATCCACGTATATACACATTTATAGGTTCACATAGACAGCGAAACTGCTTTGAACGTATCAATTTGAATTTTAATTAACGAATTTATACGGCTTCTCGCCAAACTCTGCCACACATCGCGTACCATCGTAATTACTATATACACATAGGACTCAAACATCCACACACATGAAAACAGGCTCGAATTTATTCACGTGCATTTGCTTCGATTATGACACGTTAATTGACTCGAGCGATATTTTTAACTTTTCAATGATGTCACTAAAAAAAAAGCAAAAAAAAAAAAGTATGAAAACGAATTGGATCTCTCTCGTGTGCATGTGTATAACGTCGAAGCGGGCACTTAGGCTGGTTTTATCGCCCTGCTCTCCCTCGCCCCCTCGATTTTTCACTCGGGGCGATAAGCGGCTGCAAGTTCACAGAGAGCGAGAGAGAATAGCCGACAAGTGCTTTGGAGGCAAAATAAAAGTACAAGCGAGCAAGCGATCAAGCGAGCCAGAGAGAGAGGTTACGGCGCGACGCGAAAGCGAAAATAAACGTTATTTTAGGAGCGACGCTGTGAGGCTGTGTTCCGTGCGGTTCGTCCGTGCAAGGCTCTCCGTGTAAGCGTACACACACACATACACACACGCACGCACGAACGAGTCCAGGATAGGGTCGAGCGAGTGAGCGAGAGTCGGGACAGCAGTAGCAGCAGCAGCAGCAGCAGCAGCAGCAGCAGTAGAGTTGCTGGCAAGAAGAGAGAGAGCGAGGCTCGATTGTGAAAACCCGAGCGTCTCTCGTTCGCGGCTCGTTAAAAATGCATGGCCCACTCAACTTAGACCGGAAATACCCTCGGCGCGCTATCCGTTTTGCTTCATCCCCCCATGTAGTATGTACTCGCTCGCTGCTCTCTGCTCTTTCTTCACTGCCGCTGCTTTCTATATAAACCAGGCCGTTGGCTATGCCCCAGTACTATATATTCTGCTGTGCGAGAGCAGCTTGCGAGCTTGCGAGAGCACAGTGTATATGTATGTACGTGTGAGCGAGAGAGCGCGTTATTCCCGCTTCCACTCCGTCTCTCTTTGTCAGAGCCTTAAAGAACCGAATTATTGATGGGGTGGTCTTCTCGCGCTGCATCCAGAGACTATACACGCGAGTCTCCCTCAACTATTTAGCACTTCATTTCCTACTTACCTGTGTATACGCCTGATATACACGCGCGTATACACATGCCCAAATACGCTCGAGCACACCTAGATAAACTTTGCTCGCGCGCGCGCGTATCTCTATCTCGATGGCTTCTCTCTTGCCTCTGCCTCTCCCTCTGTATTCGTAATGCGCCAAATATTCAATGGGGAAAATGCACTCCACGCACGCGCACTAAACGCCGTCCAGTGGCCAAATCGGATGTTATACGCGATAATGGAACAATGAATTCATTCCGACAAGTACACTTTGCTGCTGCTCGACTTAGCGACCTTTTTGATACGTGTAATCGATTACAATAGCGAGGACAATTCAAAGCTCGACTTACCTGATAAAGAATATCAAGGGTAATAGGGTAGATCATGTGCTCAATGATGGCTCGGAGAACAGTGTTTGGTCCTCCCTGAGTATCATTTCCTTGGACTTGGCCTTGTCCTGCTGTCTGAACGTTGGCATTCTGAAAAAGATTGAAGTTCACATTAATGAGTTTCAATTAATTTATTAAATATTATAAAGAACGTAATATGTATTCATTAACATCAAACATTTAAGTGTATTCTTCAGAAGGTCTAAATTGACAAAGTGTGATTCTATTTAAATTTGTCAGGATTTTAGGTATATTTTTCGTCCAAAAAAGGACTAATTAAACCGAAAAGATGAAAGAAAATAAAGAATATACTCGTGAAGAAAGTCGTTAAATATTTTTCTTTCAACGCGCAATATATACTATATCATATCTAACTATACAAGAGCAAAACCTCTCTACGCTCTTCACTATTAAACGAGCGGGAGATAAGTGCGTGAGCTAATTTAACGCTCGAACCGCTCGTCACTCTGAGCTGCTTAGGTGGGATGTATTTCTGGCTATACTCGCGTTTACTCTTCACTCTAATTATAGCACTGTTAGAAATAACTAATTCTGCATTACATAAAAATTTTATAATCTTCACAAACAATGCTTAAATATAAAGCTGACTTGTCGTAAGAATTATCATGTACGTATACGTTAAAGAAACACGAGAGATCTCCACGCATTTATGTTTTTGTATGTTTTGACAATTTTTACCCTTTCGAATTCTTCTTTTTTTTTTCTTTCTCAACAGCAATGATGCACTTTTTTCATAAAGGTGAGTCTGTTTTTATCTATAGACACGAATTATGCGAAGCTAACGAGGACGCGACAAAACTTTGATTAAAGGAGAAAACTTGCGGAGCGCCGAGTTCTGACTAATTAAGACTTTGTTGTCACTAGGTTTTGTCATCGTTACTTATCTGCTTCTGACCCTTTCCCTCTGACTTTCGCGCCAAATGTTTTCATTTATTTAGTTTTCTCGCAACGTGTCAAATATAAAAAGAGGCAAGGGTAAAAAATTAGAGTAAAGTTTGTGGTGGTGACTATTTTTACAATGAGGATTGTTCGTAAGAAACTTTAAGTTTCCAAGCAACTCGATCAAGTTCAAAAGTGTATACCATTTATTTGATTTAATTACATATTTTGTGTTTTGTCTCGAAAAAACACGTCGACAATTAATGCAAGTAACCATATTGTGGAGGAAAATAAAAAATGATCACTCTACTTTTGAGTTACACTTAAAAACTTGTAAAGTACAAGTGTGCGATTAGCGTTACAATGTAGAGAACAAAAGAAGTTCCGTTACTAAGTAGAAAAGAAAGAAGGTGAGAAAAAAAAGTGGTGAAAAATTCTGCATTTTATACATAGATAAAAAGCTTCTTGTCATACTTATACTTCAAATATTAGATAAGCGATCATTCGGGAAAATTGATAGTATAGCACGGCAGCACGGCAAAATCATGATGAAGTGTTTTGATGGCTGATCGATCGCTGTATACCATGCGTACTAAAACGTAAGTAAGCTGCCTCAATACTTTAACGCAGGAGAGGAGCCGACGCGGTAGAGCGTAAAGATTAAGGATATGCAACGGTGAGCAAACTTCAGCCGCTCTTGCGCGCTAACAATTTCAGCCACGAGTTTCAAAAAGAAAGAAGACTCTGCTGCGGAGGGGCAAAAACAAAAATGAGATAAGAGGATACGCAACGCGTGAGTCTCGAATAGACGTGCGAGGCCGCGCGCGAATGCGCATTATACACGCGAGCAGCTGCAGCGAGCTCGACTTATTAATCAACTTAACAAATTCGAAGCGGCTTTCGACCAGCCTATATACGTGCCTCGCACGGCGGCGAGCATACGCCCCATATAATATATCTGTCATAGGAAAACTCGAGTACATAGAAGTAGACGCGCGCGCGCGCGCACGAGCGGCGTGGAAAACTATATAAGAAACCCAGCGAGAGAGAGAAAGACAGAGAGAAAGAGTGAAAGTAACATTTTCGTATAAGTTTTCTGTGCACGCAGCTAGGGTTTTAATTACTTTGTTGCTCTCGTGAGCGCAAAACGAGCCGGAGCACGCAAGTAGATATTTTACACAACTGCCGACTTAACGACGACGACAGTTGTAAGTCGCTAATGAAATGGTTTGTTGAGAATAGGGTATAGCGTGCGCCACCCGCGCGCCTGCGTATATAATTTCTAACGGCAAACTTTGCTATTAATTAAATACATGTTTGCTGAATCTTATGCGCCTGAATAATCATCATCCTCGTTCTGATTCTCGTCCGATTTAGATAAAGTTCAGCTGATACGCGCTGGATCGACGCACAGCCACGAGCTAAAATATATGACGACGGTGCGTAAGAGCGCGTACATCGAAGTCTTGCCAAGAGTAGAAATTAAAGCAACTCCCCCGTGCCAAAGTCGGAAAAACTCCATCAACCATTTGTTTATGACAATTACTCGACAAAGCCAACCGACAGAGTGCCACGGCACACTGTACCGCAATCATTTGCTTCGTTAGCCGGGAAAAATAAATGTTCACCGGCGAATAGGAACGAATGCCGGACAGAAAAGTCGGTATACTACTGAGAGCGGGCTAACTATATAGCAATATCAGCTGCGCTATTGCAACAACGCAGCAAGTATTCGAGGCGCGCGAACGATCGAGCTTTCGCATGGCTCTTGGCTGGCGCTGCAGCGACGCGGCGACGCGACCATTGTTTTCAATTTGGCAACGAGAAAAGCGTAGACTGCAAAGAGGTCAATCAACGCTTTGTAAATGTGTATACATGTCTCTGTACATGCGTTATACAAATATAGCATAGTTGCCCCGTGCGCGGAGAGAGAAGAGAGAGAGCGAGAGAGCGAGAGAGCGTCGGGGGGCAAGGAAACGAGAGAAATAACGAGATAAAAATGAGCATTTTGGTTTGAGCTCCGAGCGCTTTTTGGTACACACAGGACGTGTACGGAACGTACAAAAGGCATACACATACACATGCATGCATGTACGCGCTTTCACAATGTTCGAGGAGAAATCACCGAAGCGAAACTCGCAGCGTTGAAAAAAATCGCCTCGAGCATTTACCCTCTATGTGTATTATCTTCTAACCCCTCTCATTTTTCTCCTCTCGCTCTCTCTCTCTCTCTCCTGCTCCTCCTCGTCCTCCGCCTTTTCGACACAAATAGTTGTTAGTCAAAGAGTTTCGGCGATAAAAGCCGCCTTTGTACGGGCTACAGGCGGTAGGAGGAGAAAACAATATGACAGTCATTTTGCACTGTGTACAATAAGCGCGACCACCGCTGGACGCAGACACCCTCTCTCGCAGTCGAAACTGAATTATCGATACTTGTCGTACATGTACGTGCGTGTGTGTACGTATAAAACTGCTATACACGGCTGAGTACGTCTACATGGGACTCGGAAAAGATCGCTCAAGCTCCGTTTCACGCTTTGCCGTCTGCGTGTACATGCTGCTGCTATACGGGCGCATACGTCGTGGGATTTAATTTTCTCCGCGCAGTCAAAGATGTGTGTTATTTCGAAGCTGGAATCGCGCGCATCGTTTTCTACTTTCACCTTGAATGCGTATTGAATGAGTTTGGGAGTCAAGCGATTCCACCCACGTATATACCTCGATTCGCTGGATTTCACGCAGCTATTGAGGGTCTCAATTTTACGCAGTATTGAAAAGTAGAGGAAATGACTGCGCGCAGTGCTCTCGACAAATGCGCTAAGCTTTTATATGAAAATTCTCCTTTCATCTGTCTACAAAATCTTATTCTTTTACGTAGTCAAATGATGGAATTTTAGTCCATCATGAAAATTTGATAATTCGATAGACTATATGCAGTGAGCACTTTTAAATTGGAGATCAATCAACAAACGACAATTAAATCCTTATCCTACTATTGCATCAAGCAATTTCAAAGCTGAAACTGTACAAACCATCACTGTACCCAATCAACATTTACCGGCGAATAACATGTTACGTGAAATCATTGAACTGAAGAACACGATTGACCGCACGCACGAGCGTTACCGCTGAAAAAAAATGATATTAACAATGCGAATCGAATAATACGCCAATGGACGATACCTATTAGCCGTAGCAAAATCATATTTTTTAAAAGAGTTTTCTACGTGGAAAAAAATGAAGCAAAGTCAAGTTAACACTGGTGCGCCCAAGTACATACATAGACGGGGATAAAGAGGTGATAGAGCGAGCCGAGTGTGTGACTAGGTGGTGCGCGTTGCATTAACCACTTTCGCACACGTCCAAGAAAAAAAAGGAGCTAAAAAGAAAAATGAGAGTGGAAAGAGAGAAGTGGCAGGGCAACGGTGTAGCAGAGCAGCTTTTTGAATTCAAAGCACATGCTCTTCAAGCCAAGCCAAGCCATCTTTTTAGCCTTTTTGTTTAATGCGTTTCTCTCTCGCTCGTTTGTTTTTACACTCACATACATTTGCCTCTATGCATGGGTGCTATGACAACACAGTTTTTTGCTGTCATTGATACTCAAGGATGTGACGGGCTCCCTGAACGAGCACCATGTAAAATACTATCTTATCATCCTAAACCAAAGGTCAAATGACTTTTTCTTAACTTCTTACCTCAAAGATTCGGATTAAAAAAAATGATTCATTTTTAAATTATGCAAACGACATTATTTGATTGGAAGTGCCAGATCAAAAATGTCTCATATAATTCGACAGCTTGGATTGAGTGATGTTCCACTAATTCAAAATGACAACAAATGCAATAAAATTTGAGATGAAAATTTTTATTTTAGTTTTTAATTTTCAATGCTATAAAAATTTTTAATGTACTGGCATATGCAGTGTAATTAAAAAATGTCCGTCTGTATTCTGCATTTTATTAATTTTTTTACGAGTAATTTTACGACCATGAGGGTGTACGTATGTAGAAGGGCGCATTTAAGCGTTATTTTAGATGACGCAAGTTTTAAGAAAATAGTAAAATTTCATTCGATGAGAGAGTGAGGGAAGATGAGTATAGAAAGGAAGAGAGCATCAGGGAGGAGAGTTGCTATTGCTGTTACATGTGAAATAGCGATATCGCATACTCTCCTCCTCAACTGAATAACT